CTGCCGTGCTGGGGGGGGGGGGCAGTTCACACGTGGTGACTGGCACTGCCAAGCCCTGCACTGCTTTCCCTCAGCCCCCATCCACGTGTCGCCGGCCTGACAGGCACTCCTGGAGTGAGCTTGGTTTGTGCACGTGGTGGCTGCCACCACATCACCACCACCACTGCTGCGCCACTTGCCTGTGGAGCCAGACATATGACTGGCCACAGGAAAGCAGCACAGGGCACGGCAGTGATGGCAGTGGTGTGGTGGTGGTAGTGGCTGCCATGTGCAAGCCACCCCCCCCCCCCCCCGCCACTGCTGCCCTCGCCCCCCCCCCGGCCCTGCTCCTGGGAGTGGGCAGAGAGAGTGAGCTGAGGTGAGGGGTGGGAAGGTGCCACAGTGTGCTGCATGGGGCCGGCAGCACCCGGCACTCCCCTGCCCACCCCCTCCCCTGGGAAACAAGGGAAGTATGGGAAGGTGCCAAGGGAAACGCAGGTGTGCCCGTGGGCATGCTCCATCCCCACCCACCTGCCCATCCAGGCTGAGGGAGGGGGTGATGTTGGGGAAAGCCCTACATGGAGTGCCCGCCTGGCCAGTGGCACATGGAACCGGAGCGGCACATTATCGGCCCTTAAGGGGAGCCACACATGGAGGCGCTGAGCCTGGTTAGGCCAATAGCACCGCTCGCAGTCCACGTGCAGCCAGCTTCCCCCCCAGCCAGCTCAGCCCCAAGCCAACTTCTCCCCCAGCCCTGCCCTGCAACCCCCCAGCCACCTGCAAGTCCCACTTACCTAACCTTACAGGCTCCAAGAAGTAAAGTAAGCCTGAAGCAAGCCTTGGGACTGACTAAGAGGCTCAGGCCCTGCCCTTCCCCCTCTCCCTCCTGACAGGGCTGGGGGTTTCCCGCCCATTTTGCAATCAGCTCCTGCAGGCTGGAACTCTGCCAGCCTGCAGAGCTCTTGCAAATCTGGGAAATCCCCGGGTTTCTCTGCTAAAAGGTAAAATCCACATTTTCTCTGAGAACAATGGGAAGTCCATGGTTTTTTCCATTTTTCTGTGGGAAACAGAAAACACAGATCCCTGCTGATCATCGATTCCAGCCATGCAGACTTTTAACTGCTGACTGCCTACAGCTGGTTCTTAGCCTTCTGCAGGCTAAACACTTCATCACATCCCCCAGTCAGATAATAATCTTCCCTACCCCCTTTCAGTCCCCCGTCCCTCACCCTCCATGCTCAAAAGCACATCCCTTCCGCTCCCCTTCTCTTCTCCCCTACCCATTGCTGCTGCTGTCCTTCATTCCCTGGATGACCCAGGAATATGTGTGTGGAGGGGGGAGGCTCCAGAGATGCTCCTGCCTTGCTCTAACTGGGCTGTACAAGCAGCCAGGCTCAGTCAGGGACAGCAGTGGTGGTAGGCAGGTTCCCTCTCCCTAAGCCTGCATCTAGGATGTCAAGGAATTCCCCAGGGACTGGGTAGGGAGGAGGAACCTGCCCACAGCCATGGCTACTGTTGTTCCCAAATGAGCCTGGCTCCCTGTGGAGCCCACCTGGAGCAGCGCAGGAGTGACTCTGGAGCTGCCTTGTCCCCAAGGCAGCTGAGGACATCAGCAGTGGTGGGAGAGGGTAGGAGGGAAGGTGTTTGAGCATGGAGTGAAACAGAAGGGGGAATTCTTACTTGCTTAGAGGACCCCCAAAAAGTCCCCAACTACTGTTCCTGCAGCATCGATTGAAAGGGGGGTGCATCTACACTACTGGATCCCCTCTGGATCCATCCCTAATAAAACTGGGAGATTCTGGTTTTGTGATTGTGAAATAGTTAATGGTATGGAGGATTAATGTTGTAATATTCAAGAGTCTGAGAGAAGTTGGGGATCAGTTCTCATTGACTTCCACATGTTGTCCAGAGCAATGGCAAATCATATAGCAATGATGCTTCTTATCGAGTCAAGACATGGAAACATACTATGTGACCCATCTGTGGTATTAAAAGTTCTAAAACACCAACCTTTCTCAAACACCAAATTGCTACATTTCACCCATTTATTTCTAATATGCAAACTGAGGAAAATCAGTTTATCTTCTTCATACAATTTGCAAACAGAAAGAGACAGAAAATGCAGCTGAAAGAATGGTTTGCTGCTACTTTTAACTTACACTTTGACAGTTCCCAAACACTCCACTGAGATCAGGGCTCCAGTTTGTTAGATACAAACACAAATAAATGAGCCATGCAGCTGTTGAAGTGAAGCTACATGACAAGTTGAGAAGGAAGAGCAGAAACTAAGGGACCTGGGGAAAGTCTGTAAAATGAGGGAGTCAGTATATTGGCCTGGCAGCAACCTGGAATTGAGCATGGGATAAGTGGAGATGAGGAGAGCTGCATCAGTGACCAGGGATAGAAAAAGGCCGTAAAGAAAAGAATGTGCATAGACTGTATGTATACAGTCTGTTTGGGGCTTTGGGATGCAAGAGGTCTGACAAATGGAGTTGCTTTGGAGCTAAAAGTGCTGCTGCATGCTTATACCTTCTAGAGCCTGATTTTTCTTCTGTTCAGGTCAACACGGTGGCAGCAGATCGGAGTTTCACAAACCAGGACATTGAATCACGGGCCTTGCAGCTGAACACAGAAGTGTGTCCAATAGGGAAACTGTCTCAGCGTGGATTCTACCTAGCTTTCCAGAACTCTGGGGCTTGTGTGGCCCTGGTTTCCACCCGGGTATATTACAAAACCTGCCCAGAGTCAGTCCAAGGCCTGGCCCACTTCCCAGAGACAATAGCAGGCTCAGAAGGGCTGACAGAGGTGTCAGGAGTCTGCGTGGAAAATGCAGCTGAAGAAGCAGGCCTCCCACCCAGGATGCACTGCAGTACTGATGGCAAGTGGCTGGTGCAAATGAGCCGCTGCCTCTGTGACGTAGGGTTTGAGGAGGCTGATGAAAGCTGTGTAGGTAGGTATGCAGAAAAGGGAGGGGATGGCAGAATGTGCAGGAAATTATGGAGATATAGATAGTGATACAATCCGTGAACATATGATTGTTTTCAGGTGGATAGTGAGGTGAGAGTTGCATTAGACTGATTCCACTGAGCCCTATCTTGTCTCTGACTTCACTGCTTCCTATCTCTCTTTATCTGCATCTCATCTCTGCTTTCTGCTACATGTGTATATCTGTGGCTCTGCTATTGTCTTTTTTATTTCTCTCTCTCTGTCTCACTCAGATACAACAATTGCAAACACCCTTCCACTCTCAAACTCCATCCATCAGCCTTCAGCCAGTTTCTGGGAGCTGTAAGTATATCATTGACACCGGGTGCATCTACACAAGATGCTTTACTGCGCAGGAAACTAATTTGCTGCACGGTTAAGTGTCACCGTCTACACATGTGCAACAATTAGGGTTTAGTAGACTAATTTACTGTGCTGCTGGATAGTCCTGTCAAATACAAGTGGTATCAGGCAGAGCAGTAAATTACTGTGCTTAGATGCACGAGTAGATGGTGGCATTGGGATTAGTTTACTCCAACTCAAATTGAGCCAGAGTATATTCAGTCACATTAATTGTACATGTAGATGTGCCCACTGAGTCACCTGACAGCCAACCCTTAACTGGAAGCTGGTTCTCTGGGAACACCCAGGTTAGGATTGAGTAGATATACCATTGTCCCAAGAACTCAAGGAATTCAAGTGTGGGGCTGCCTTTGTTCGGTGGATTTCATTTTTCTATCACAGGGAAGGACATGACCTGTTTGAAACCTGGATCAGAGTCCAGATAGAACGTGCTCATGGGAGGGTATACAAACACCCACCACCTGGATGGGAACACTCAGCAAGCTGAACTAGGATCATTGTAGTTTAAATCTGCCCTTGACAGAGAAGAGAAAAAAGATGCTGGCAAGGGGATAGTCCAATAGTGCAGAGAGAGTTACAGGTTCTGTATTATAGGTGGTGCTTAGGCCTGAGCCACTGTAGTAAAAAGCTCGGCAGGTTCATATGCCATTTGTCTCAAGCTGCAATAAGAGGAAGGGGGAACATTAATGGGAGCCTAAGGATCAGAGATGGAATCTGCATTCTGTCCTAAGGGTTTGTAAGGGTCTTCAATTACACTGTCTTCCTGTTTGCTCGGCTTGGAGGCTCTGAGCTCTATTTGGATGGCTGCTGCCTCCCCACTCCTGCCTTGCTCTGGCAACTGATTGAAGGGTTAAGAGACTACGTATTTCAGTATAGGATCAAGGCCCCTCCCCTCTGCTCTCTCTCCCCAGCTCAGCCAGTTTTTCTACTTATCTGCTGCTGTGCTCTCCCATGAAAGGGTGAAGAACTTGTCTTGCCTGGGCAGGTTTTCACTATCACAGTGCATGGCAACCTCTGCATCACAGCTTCTTCCTATTCAGCCCGAGCACAACAGAAGTCAGAAGTGTCTTCTCTAGGGTTATGAGGAAATGGGGAATTCTCCAAACAGAAGTGTGGAGGGGGTGATATGCCAAGACAAGGAGTGGTGTTATGTAGGTGGATCCAAGATAAAAGAGGATGGAGAACCTGTTTGTGTAGCTGGAGAAGCTTCCTTCTTCCATGTCCTCATTCCAGCCAATTTCCAGCAGAAAGAGACCAAGTGCCTGCATGAACTTGGAAATGACCCAGATTTCTCTCTGAGCCAACTCCTGGGATGAAGACAGGGATCATACCTTGTATCTTTGCCCTCAGAAAAAGGAGAGGTTCCAACTTAAAACCCCACTCTGAGAAGGGAATGAGGCAGGGGTGGGGGAGAAGGGCAGGAGGTTAAAATGCAGGGAGACTATCAACTGACTTGCTCCAGCGGCCAAAGCGTGGGAAGGGAAACTACACTGTCACCTTTGCCCTGTGATAAAAGTGGTGAAGATAAGAGTGGCAGTGGGGGGAGGCAGCTCTGACTTTTATTCAGGGATAGAAAGGAATGGAAGGGTAGTAACCGAAGTGTAAGAAGGTCCCAGCTCTGCACTAACTCAGTCAGCTGCTGGGTGAACTTACAGGTACTGGTACCTGTACATTAAATCATAGTGGTCTCATCCCAAGCACCTCACCACTCTGCACCTGCCTCCAAGCTATGCTTACCCAGGGAGCTAGAACTTGGCATTCAGTGGCTAACCTGAATCCCAAATATTAGCTTACTGTTGTAATATGAATCCTTTTAAATTGCAGCACATACTTCTTTACCCAACCTTTCCCCATCTGACTGGAGTCCAGTTTCCTAACTGAGTGACAAGGAAGCAGAGAGCAGGTGGTTCAGTCTCTTATTGCTGAACTCTTGCATGGCTCATCTTTGTTCCCTTAAGGCTACCAATTACCCCAGTGACAGACATGGTGTAAACGTCTGTAAGACCAAAGGGGAGAGAACCCTCTTAAATGTGTGGTTAAGAGGGGAACTAGGGTTTTTTTTTTTTATATAGAGTTTGTTGTCCCCATCAAATTCATTTGAAGTGTAATTCCAGCCTTCAAGTGAAGCGTAATGCCAGCATACTAAAAGGTGACTGGGGAGGCTGGCGCCAGGAGATTGCTGGCATCAAGGGAGGAGACACGAGGTACAGGGAGTGGGAGAGTCTCAGCTGGAGCTTACATCTCCAACTGGGTAGGTTGAAGGCAGAGGCTCTTTGTTCCTCTTTCTGTTTAATGAGCCCATAAAGGCCCTGTTAAAGATAACTGCTGGGTGGGACCGGATGTTGCAGTGCAATGGCAACAGTGCTCTGGGTTAGTCCTGCACTCCATGCTACCTCCTTTGAGGAATTGCACCACCTACTGCCTACCAGCATGATAGGCTCACTCTGACTTGCATCTGGCTTACTTCCTTTGAAACCTGCTCCTTTTTCCCATTCTTCTGCCCAGAAATCAAGATTCTTTGCCTGAAGCTTTTGGTTCAAGGACACAGGGACTGTTTCCCACTGGGTTGCGGGGGAATAGCATCAGATAAGTGTTTTTGCCCCTCCAGTCACTGGAGGGAGGGAAAGAAGAGGTCTGAAGAAGTTAGTCTGAGAGCTGTATGCTAAGAGTTGTTAGTGTTGGGACTTGGTTTGCTTAGAAGACCTGAATTTGTATTTTTTCTTTCTCTCTGGGATATGATGCTTTGGTTTTAAATCAAACACTGGGGTTTAGTGGCTAGTCATATAGACATAAATACATAGAATATGATCTTTACTCACTAGATGTAAATATATAGACATAAATATATAGAAGATGATCTTTACTCACTCTTGATGGCCTTCACATAGCCTCGCTGTGGCTGCTGCATGATTTCAGTAGCCATAAGGTGACTGAGAAAAATGGACCACATCACTGCAGGCTGAGAGTTATGAGGGATCGGATGAAGGAATTGAATTGTTTCTGGAGTCCTGGGGTCTCCAGTCCAACTTGTGCTTGGCATGGGAAGACAGAGCAGGTGGCCTAGAGCAGGAAACTGGTATTTCTTAGTGGACCTCTTACTGTCAATGCTCTGCCAAGCCAAACTGATTGGAAAATAAAGGATTTTTTAAATCTTAAAATGGGAGGTTCAGAAAGCCTTCCTCTTCACTCTGGCACCAGTTAAATCCCAGACAGAAGAACTGCTTTGAGTCATTAACAGTGAATGGTGCATACCATTTTTGCTCAGAAACAACCTCCCACTGGTGGTTATCAAGGGGAGACGAGAAGCCTGTATCTAGGATGGTTTAGGAATCGTGAATCCCACATCTTTGTAGAGGGTTGGACTAGATCATCATGGACATCAAACTCACCTCAAACCCTGGGTTGGATCCAGATTGCAGGGGCTCATCCCAGGCTGGATCTGTAGGGCCTGCAGCAGCTGCACTGGGTCAGGTGGCAGCAACAGGAATCTGGGGCCAGCAGCAGAAATCTGGCAGCAGCATGGGTCTGTGGGCTTCAGCATGGTTTTGAGGTTAGTGCTGGGGGTCCCCGGACAGAACAGTTCTGGGGGCAGTGATGTAGGTCCAGACACTGGGGGCTGATCAGAGGCATGGGTACAGCAGCTTGGATCAGTAGGCAGCAGCAATGGGGTCAAGTAGCAGCACAAGTCCAGGGGCAGCAGTGGGGCTCTGGGGCCAGTGGCAGGGGTCAGGTAGTGGTGGGGTGAGTGAGGGCTGTATCTGCACAGTCTTCTCTTGTGCCCCTTGCCACTGACAGCAATATCCAACAGGGCCCAGGGACCCAAATTCTGTGGTAGGCCATGCCCCACTAGCCCCATCCCCCAAACTTATGGAAACTGGGACCACCAGATGGAACAGTTCCACAGCACAGATCCAGCCCGTGGGTTATATATTTGCAACCCCTGGATTAAGTGGCCCTTGAAATCCCTGCCAATTCTATGATTCTAGGGGGCAGGGAAGTCTCAGGGAACAGCATTCATTGTCCTCTGTTTTCCATTCATGAAGGAGAAACTTTCTAGCTCCAGTTCAGAGTTTTATTTTAGACCAAGGAAACAAGAAAATAAGAATGAATAAAAGGAATGTCCCCCTGCATGTGTATGTGCATCTTCTCCGTAGCATGCTGCATCAACTGCAGCACAAAGGTGCCCTTTTGGATAAGCAGTCTCCATATAAAAGTATAAAGTGAAGTACTAGCAGTCCCATTAGCTACTAGTGCTAGCCAGCCCATTCGCTACTAGTGCTAGCCGGCCCATTAGCTACTAGCTAGTGAAGTACTAACTTAGCCCAGCCGTTCATGGCCCCTGGAGGTGCAGACTGGTCTGGCAAAAAGCTGGAAAGGATGAGGACCATATCTCTTGGGAGAAATCTCTCTGAGGCTGACAAAAGTCATAAGTACTGTGTTGATTTTTTACAGCAGGGTCCTTGTTTGGCAGGACCTCCCACTTCCAATCTGTGAGAAGGGGGAAAAAAGAAGAGGTACACAGTGGTGCTGAGGTAGAAGATGAAAGGGTGATCAGGGGGACTGCCAAGACTGACCATCAGCTTCCTCCCAGTCCTGTGCTTCCTGTTGTTTCTTTGCAGCCTGTCAGCGGGGATTCTATCGTCACTCTCTGGAGACTGAACGCTGCCTCAAATGCCCCCCACACAGCTCATCCAATGCTTCGGGGGCTACTTCCTGTCCCTGCTATATTGGCTTCTTCCGGGCATCCAATGAGGGCCAGAATGTTGCTTGCACCCGTGAGTCACAACTGGGAAAATGAGAACAAGGGACACTTATATACATGGAAGGAGGCTGCTTCAATGTGCCATACTCTCGCAGCTTCTCTAATTAAGGGGTGCCCCCACCCCTACCCTCTATAAATGCCCCTAAGGGTATTCAGAGAGGAGGAAGTTTGGGGAACAGGGAACCAGGTTAAAATATGGAGAAAGATTGGAGAGGGGGGGTGGGGGGAAATGCACATTGAAAGACATCATGGGGAAGGTATGTGCTAAGGCTGAAACTTCATGCTAGGTCTAATCCACCTTCTTTAACTCACTGCAGGCCCTCCCACAGCTCCCCGCAATATCAGCTTCTCCTTGATGGGGACTCAGCTCTCCCTTTGGTGGCAGCCACCCAGCGACCTGGGTGGACGGAAGGATCTTACTTACAATGTCTTATGCCAGCACTGTCATCTTGTGTGTGAGCCATGCAACCCTGGTGTGGTCTTTTCTCCCAGCACCTCAGGCCTTACCGAGCCATCAGTGGATGTGGACAGCCTAGAGGCTTACACCAACTATACATTCACTGTGGAGGCACATAATGGTGTCTCAGAGGTTGCTGTCACTTCTCAACGTGCTACTGCTTCCATCTGGGTCTCTGTTGGGCATGCAGGTAAGTCTGTAAGATGGAGAGGTGGATCAGTGTTTCCCTGTCCATTGAGAAAGAGAGGCCTTGTAGGTCTAAGAGGTTTCTCCATCTTATTTCTTCACACCACCAGCAAAGGACCCTGCTTTCTGTCTGTTCACAAAGGTTTTAAAATATCTTACATGTGAACTCTGTCATGCATTCTCCTTTTTTAAGCCACTACAGCTGAAATAATCATACAAGAAGAACAGTAAATTTCCTAGGTGCTTTAGAAATACACTGCAACCCAGTTCTCTCCTCTGTTACATCGGAGGCAGTCCCATTGCCTTGTACCCCATGGCACTGAGCCTGTTGAGCAAGATATATTTTCTGCCATATATGCAAAAACAAAAACAAAAAACCAACAACCCTCAAATCCTGGTGGAGCTTTAAAACAGAAACTTTAAACACGGGAATAGGGACGCTCAAAGGTGCAGGTCTCACATCCCTGCTCATTCAGCCATTTGGCATCTTTGAAGAATATGGCTTTCATTTGATAGTTTGGCTGTCCTGGCCAATGTAAAATCTGTGTAAAATGATTGTAAAAAAGCAACATCTTCTTACTTAACAGACCTATCCTTATGCACTTTCAGGGTCACCACTGCTAAGTTTAATGACAAAAAATATAATTTTAATTGTGTTTTTATTCCCTGTTCCCCCTGCAGAGCCAGCACAGCTCAGAATTAATACACCATTAACAGAAATATTTGTAAAGTTCCCAGGACACCAGCCCAAGCCTGGGAACAGTTGTGAGGTTGTATGGGTGACCCTATGCCCTGTATAGTTTTTCTTACCAGTGGTGATGTAGAATAAGGAAAGACTAGGCCAGATTCTATTTAATCTATTCGACATCTATGTGAATGTAAGCTCCTAAGTGCAATTCTATTCCATCCTGCTCAAGTCCTGAAAAACCATTAATGCATCTACATTTGCAGCTTACTGAATCACAAAAAATCAATGAGAAGATAGAGGACCCATCTACTTTGTGTGTTAAGATTTTCTCAGAGACTTGAGCAGGGTGGCATAGATTCATACTTAGGTGCCTAAGTCCCTTTATATTCCTAATAAGTGAAATAAGCAAGGCCCATCCTGGCTTGTCTCTTGAATCCCAAAAAAGCATTAGAGAACAGCTTTTTACTCACAAAAGTAGGAGGTTTGCTCTGGGCTAACTGAGAAATGCAGAGCCATGCCCATACAACATGCATTGTGGTTGTCTTAACATTGCTGTGGGATCCCTAACTTTTAGCATTTCTTTTTTTCTTTCAAGTTTTCACATTAATGCCGTACTCAGTAAAATTACTTTGTGTAGTGATTTCTTGATGATCAATATGGTAAGTTGCACCGCTTCTCAGCTCTCTCCATTACCAGTGCAATTACAACTGGAGATCTTTTCCCCTTTAGGCATACTAAAGAAGGATAAAGTACTTGATAATCAGCAGTGGCAGTGAGAAGGAAGTCCATACCTGTTGCTTGGGTGTTGGGGATGGGTGGTAAGGGAAGGAAGATGGGAATAGACTTAAAAAGAAAAAAGAATGGGTTCTGGGAAGAGTGGGAAGGGGCTGTGTGTACCCTATGCTTTCCTTTGCTCATGTATCCTCTAATTTTTCTCCCCTGCAGCACCAGTGACAGTTTCCCATGTGACCCTTTTGCAGCGTGATGACAGCAGCCTGTCTTTCTCATGGCCAGCCCCCAAGCATAGCAGCAGAAGTTCAGTGGAGTATGAGGTTGTGTACTTTGAGAAGGTAAGAGGTGCCTTTTCTGTGCTAATTTTCCTCCCTTCCCCTCCCCTCCCCTTCTCTCTTCCGCCCTCGCTAGAAAAGGTCTCCTCCTCTGTTTCCATATTACTGTTCACTGAAGAAATCATTTGTTTCCTGATTCCTGCAGGGAGAAGAAAAACTCTATGGAGTTAAACACTTGCAGGAACCCAATGTGACCCTGACAAACTTACAGCCAGACACAGCCTACCTGCTTCGTGTGCGATCCATCACACCCCTTGGTCCTGGTCCCTTCTCCCAGGACAAGGAGTTTCGCACCCTCCCACCTGGTAAATGGAGTAGGGAAGATTCTCATTTCCCTAATACTTTCTTCTGCCACACACACACACATGTGCACATACAGAAACTAACCCTAACCCTGGATGACAATGAAGCAGAAAATTTCCACTACTATCTACCATTTTATCCAGTTAATTTTAAATGCAAGATGCAGAAAATCAATTGAGGCAGAAGACCCTTCAGAATGTCCCTTGTGCAGTTCTCACCAAAACAGCTTGTTTTGCCTGTGCTATAAAATCACCTCACTGATAAACAGTGCAACCCCACAGACCTCACTCTTATTTCTATCCTTCCTAAACAGCTTATACCTTTCAGTGCCCCATGTTCCAGGCATGGCTACTATGGCTCCATGTTTCATTTACTTCTATTTTGTCTAGTTTCACAACACACACCAGAAGTTCAAGTTCTTCCATTTTATTGCCTGAACTCACTATGTTTGTATACATACATTTCTGTTGTTTCTATTTGGCTTTCTCAGAAGTCCCAAGTAGAATAAGAGCAATCAGATTGCTGACTGGAACACCACCCTGACTTCCATTGTTATCAGTGTTGTTGCTATCCATTTCCCTTCCACTCGTTCTGCCTTTTATCTTCAGGTTCCCTCCCATTGGCCACGTCTACATGAGACGCTGACTGTGCAGTCATAAACAAGTACTAAATGAGTGCACAGTAACCTGAATTACTGCACAGTAGCACCAATGAATGTATTTTTGTGACACTACTGCGCAGTAGTCTAATACTACTGTGCAGTAGTGTCACATCATTTTTTCCCATGCAACACTACTGAGCAGTAGTACTGGGCTACTTCACAGTCAGCATTTCATGTAAACACAGCCATCGAGTATTTATTCCTAGAGTAGAGATCCTATGGTTTTTCTCCTAACCCAGTCCTGTCCCTTTGTCTCCACAGATAATGGGGCTCTTTCCGGTGGTGTGATAGTTTCTATAATCTTTGGAGTTCTGCTGTTCATGGGGCTGAGTGCAGGACTCTTCATCTTCTGGAGAAGGTAAGTGCCGCAATTGCTGGCACAGGAGAGGGAGAGGCAAAGCTGTGTAATACAGAAAGAGACACAGGAAGGCAAGGGGTGGCCATGCCTGCTTATTTGAGAGTAGAAAAAGTATAAATTGGGGTGACTGATTAGTCATGGAATTGATTGATTAGAAGTGAAAGGGGAGACCCAGTGCAAGTGGAACAGAGAATATGCTTATGCTGCTCAAGTTAATGTGCAGGGTTAATATGTGATTTGTACATTACCTGTGTCAAGCTGGCACTTGCTGCTTTGAAGACATAGAAAGGAGAAGCAATTCCATTTTCTTTAGGATGTGATGTCTTTGTGAGCCTGCCATGTCACTACAGGGGTGTATGGACTAAGCCAGGCCCTGCCCATTCTCAGCCACATAGAACAGATGCTGCTTCTTGAATGACTTAGTTGAAACAGCACCTCTCTCCAGTTTGATCACATCGGTATTTCATGGGATTTCAGCAGAAATCTGTCTCCTACATTACAAAAGGTGATCCAGATTAGCCCTGCTCCAGATGTCACAAAACTTTGTAGACACTTAAGTTCAGGCAGGGCTTCCATTTTGAACTGCAAAATCCCCCAAATGCTCGGGCTTCTGAGCATGTTCAGAAGCGATCAGAAGTGGTCCAGTGACACTTGCTTGAGCCCTGTTGTGATACAGATTGATTCTAGAAAGACAGCTAAGTTTCTGGAATGACTTTCTCCATCAGGTGTGTTTAGAGTACACATAACTTGCTCTGATATATTGAGTCCGGTTCAAAAATACTGCTGGGAGTAGGGAACAGAACCTAGGCCTTTTTCTTCCCAGAAGACTATGCTCACCCCTGGGTTACAGTCACATTTCACAGAATCTGGAATTATTGAAAAGCAGAGCTGGAAGAGACCTCTAGGCTTGGAACAAACATTACACATAAACTGGTTTAAGTGATCAGAAACTGGTCTAAACCTGTAACAGAAGTTCAGTGCACATAGGTTTCAAAATGGCCTTAACAAATTTAAGATAAGCCTGGGTGGATGTAGTATCAGTCTTAACTGCTTTAGGTTACACTAGAGAGAATTGTTAGAGAGAAGGTTCAGGCTGGACATCAGGAGGCATTACTTTACAGTTAGGGCTGCCAGACTCTGGAATGGGCTCCTAAGTGAGATGGTGTTCTCTCCTACCTTGGGGGTCTTCAAGAGGAGGCTGGACAGATATTTGGCTGGGGTGATATGACCCCCGCGCCTGTTCCTACCCCGGGGCAGGGGGTTGGACCTGATGATCTGTTTAGGTCCCTTCCGACCCTAAGCACTATGATACTATGATACTAGTCTATAGAACTTCTGTCCCAGATCCCTTCCTGACTCAAGTTACCTCACAATCCCCCAGAATCCTTGGATGCCTTGCGCGCCCCCTGATTATCCCCCCCACCCCCAGGCAGGTCGCTAGCTTCAACTATGCTCATCTACTCTAAGTTGTCAGCTGCAAGTGGGGGGCGGGGAGGGAGTGTCTATAGCTCTGTATTTATTTCTCTTTATATGGCATCCCTAGGCAGGGATGGCATTCAAACACCTGGGAGCAGGACAGAGCAGACAGAGTGAGCCAGCAGCAGCTGCCCCCATGCTGCTAGCATTGTAGGGGGGAGAGGGCTTGTGTATGCAGGGAGGAGTATAGTTTCCTGGCAGGGGGTAATGGTCTCTGCTCTGCAAGAAGAGCGAGTCTCTGGGCTCCATCCCTGGCTGTTGGCATCAGGCCAGGGCAGGTGGAGCAGTAGCCCCAACCCCTTCTGCCTCGGATCCCAGATCCTAGGCAAAGGACACAGCCCTGGCTGCCCTCTGCAATTGAGGCAGGAGTGGGCAAAATATGGCCCATGGGCCAGATTTGGCCCATCAAATGATTCTATCTGTCTCGTAGCTGTTCCTCTGAAGGAGAATCGTGTTGAACTCATGGCTGCCCTGGCTTTCAGCACCTCTCACCTTTCTAACTTCCCCCTGCTGTAGCTGGCTGCAGTAGCAGCAGCAGCAGCTCTGGCTTCAGTGGCCTGACAGCCACTACTTTTTCCGCATCAGCCTGCCCTGCCTCCCATCTTCCCCTTGAATGCTCCAAAGCAGGAGACAATGAGCTTCTGACCAGGGGCCAGGCTTCTGACACTGCAGCAGTTCGCAGATTAGACAGCCCAGCTGCTGGCAATAGTTGAAGTTCAAGTAAGTTTCTTCCCGCTGGCAGAGGGTGCAGGGGGAAGAGAGCCAGAAGCCATAGGTTATCCAGACCCTTCTGTGCTTGGGCCTGGTAGGGGCGCAGGCACCACTAACACGGTGCCATACTGTGTTCCCAGGTGCTGCTTTGGGCCCTGCCACATGGCTGCAGCTGGAGCAGCTGGTGCAACTCCTGCCTGACTCTGGCGCAGAGCTGATGCCTGACCCTGGCACATGGCAGGGTCAAGCAGGAGCTATGCCAGCTACTCCAACTACACCCACATGGCCTGAAGCGGCACACGAGAACACAGTACAGCACCGGTACAGCTCAAATCATCTGCAACTCCCAGCTCCCTTCTCCCTCCCTTCCCTGCCCTGAGTCCCTGGCATGTGACTGGGTCAGGCTGGTGAAACACTGTGTTCCCATGTGTCGCTTCAGGCCACATGGGTGAAGCTGGAGTGGCTGTTGTGGCTTCTGCCATACCCAGCTACATACTGGAGACTTGGGGAGGGTATGTAGTGAGAGCTGAGAGGAGCTTTTGTGTGTGTCTGCGCATGTGTGTGTCTGTGCATGTCTGTGCATACACACATCTGCATATGTGTTCACATGCGTGTGTGTGTGTGTGCAACCCTCAAGAGTTCACCAAAACATGCTAATTGGCCCTGAAGCCCAAATTGCCCACTCCTGAGTTAAGGCTTAGTGCAACTTTACTGGAGCTGCAGCAGCAATAGGAGGAAGAAGTGCTTGAGGAAGGGTGAGTGAGTGAGGTGTGTGACTGCATGTGAGTGAGCAAATGAGTAAGTGTGCATGCATGTGTGTGCATGTGTGTGACTCAGTGGCAGGGTGTGTGTGTTTTGTGCAGAGTGGAGCTCCCCTCAAGAGTGAGACCGGGGGTGTGGCAGCCAGAGAAGGGCTGACTGAGAGGCTGAGAGGTTTGAGGACCCAGGAAGGGATCAATGGGTCTGGCAGCCCAGAGGGGAGTTGAGAGAGGAGCTGAGGGGCCTGGCAGCCCAGAGAGTGGCTAAGTGAGGGACTGAGAGACCTGGAGACTCAAGGGAGGCCATGCAAGAGACCAAGCAATCTGAAGGCCCAGAAGAGAGCTGTATGAGAGACTGAGGGTCTGAGGACCCAGAGGAAGGCTGCATGGGTGTAGACATGTGACAAAAAGAACATTCATGATGATGCCATCTACGAGGCATGGGGCATGGTGTAGGAGAGGTATGGAGCCATGCAATTAAGCCATAAGGCAAAGGACCACAGCCACCAATTGGTCATTAGAGCAAGACCAGGTCTGGGAAGCCCTGAGGCAATCTCCCTTTTATAACCATAAAAACATCAAGGTGTGGCAGGTAAGCAAAAGGGAGACTGTTCCCAGAGTGAGCAAGGCAAAAAGGTTAATTTTGGGGGGCCTCCCAAAGCTTATGACCACACCTGGGGATGCCACCCTGCTACATACCCCTATCCCTAACGTATATCAACAGGAAGGGAAACAAAAATCCTTCCCAGCCCCATACAGCAACCAGCAAAACCAAGCAGCACTGGAAATACACATAGCATAGCAAAGGCATAGCTACTTCTAGATCATCCCTGACCAATACTTATCCAATCTATTCCTAAACACCTTCTATGATAGAGATTCCACAATTTCCTCTTGCTTGTTCTCCCATGAGCACTGCCCTCTTGACTAGGCAGTGATTGAATTTCAGATGTCTAAGCTTTCAAGAGAGGCAGGAGTTCAGGTACACCCTTATTCTTAGTGTTCCCTATTAACTACAATTGCATTGCTCTGTTAGCTAATAAAAACCTAGGATTCCAGACAAGCCTAGGGACTGACACGACACCTCATTGGATGGGTGACAGAAAGGCTTTATTTACTACAAGTATTCAAAGTCAAATGAGCCCAAAACAAAGCAAAGTCCAGTAATTAGATATAAGGTGATGATTTCTCACAAAACAAGTGACAAGAGAGACGGTCTGTTTCTTCCAGCTTCTTGAGATAGCTGGGGCGCAGCAGCAGTTGGTGTCAGAGAAATTTCTCACTCTTGAAGTGCATGCTGTTGGCTGTTTTCACGCTGTTCTTATACCCTTAGCCCAGCATCTTTATAGCATTCTTTTAGTTGTATAAATCAAGAGAGAGCATCCCAAGCAGTAATTAACAGGAAAATCCTGTTAATCGAACTGCTCATTATTGGTTATCAGACAATTCCAATTTGAATGAATTACCTTCCTCAGTGACAAGAGGTTATCCATTTCTACTAAGTTTGGAACATATCAAGAAACTGATTATCAACCAAGAGAAACATGAGGTTTTGGGGAGTGTCCTTGGAAAATCAGGAGGAGACATCTATTACATATGGAGAATGACTCCTCCTGTACACAACATGAGTTAATTGCAAGAGAAATATTTATCGTACTAATTAATCAAGGATAGACATTTCACATGGTTACATACCAGACAACTAGGAGCCTGGTTAAAATAATCATGAATATAGTAAGATAAGCTGGAAGGGATACCTCATTATTTCATTTCAGATGGCCTAGCTATGAACTCGCAACTTCTTGTACTATGCAGTTAGCATTAGTATTTTGTATTTTAACTTTTGTGAGTAGGCCCCAGCTTATCATGAGTTTCAGAGTCATCACATCAGCTCTCCTGAGGCAAGTGTAGCATCTTAGGGAGCAAACATATTTACCAAGAGCTCCATGATGGTCTTATTTATTCCCACAGTGAGACATTAAACTCCTTTTGTTAGTAGGAAATAAAGCTGCTGCAGTTTCCTGTCTGCTACATCAGGATCCCAGGAAGCTAATACAGGACTTGGCTCTGACCTACCATGAAGTGCCTGATCCTTTCTAGCCTACAGCAGAGACCCTGAAAATCATACTTTTGTTCCTACTGCAATACCCTGCTGCTTTACTCATCATTCAGGTTTCATAATGATTGTCATGTGTCTTACAGGCGAGCCGGTCATCGCCAAGGACGGCCAGACTATGATATCTCAGGGTTTGACCGAGGTGAGGCACAAAACAAGGAAAAAGACCTGAAGTTCTGCTTGTGGTGGGAAAGGCAATGGGTCCAGGGAATGGGACAACTTTAGGCATTATTTATGAGAGATACTAGAGGATGCTGTCAGGATACTGGCTTCTTATAAACAGATTGATGGGACAGAAAAGGGTCTCAAGAGATCATCCAGTCCAACCTACAGTTCCAAGTGGGATCATCCTTGTCTAAATTACCCCAAATAAGCACTTATGTAATCTGCATTTAATACATCCAGGGATGGCAGTTCCACCATCCTATCTAAATCATCTGTTCCAATTCTAAACCACCCTCATAGAATGTATTTTCTTAATATCTAAAATAGGTCTTTCTTCAGCCCATTACTTCTTGTCCTGTCTGCTGTGGCTAGAAATGCAGATATTCAAATTTAAATTATCTCTCCCTATGCTGGCTTCAGTATCCATCCTTGGTTCATCCACGGCTCTAGTTGGGAAACATATTAATCTTTGCTCTGTTATTGTGAGAATAATAGGCAGTCTCTAACACTGGCAACTTGACAGGTTGGTTATTCTTTTGTTTCCCTTCATCACAGAGAAAATCTGGTTGAAGCCCTATGTGGAACTGCAGCCCTATGAGGACCCCAGCAGGGGGGTTCTGGAGTTCACCAGGGAGCTGGATGTGTCCTGTGTCACCATGGAAAATGTTATTGGGGAGGGTGAGTTTCATTCTGCCAGCTCCCCGTTATTTTGTTCCGCGTCATCACATCTTTTCCCCACCTATGTCTGTTTGCCTACTACCTGTAACCTCTTATCTCTTGGTTGTGCCACAGGAGAGTTTGGGGAGGTTTTTCTTGGATCCTTGCACCTCCCAGGGAGAGAAAGCATAACGGTTGCCATCAAGACATTGAAGTCAACATACTCTGATTCACAACGGTGGAATTTTCTGCGAGAGGCAACAATTATGGGCCAGTTCAACCACCCAAACATCGTGCGTCTGGAAGGGGTTGTCACAAAGCGTAAGAGACCCTGTCCAGTCTGTATATGGAATGACCCATGAGGAAGCACTTCTGTGGAAGTTTACAGAGGGAATAAGGAAGGAGGTATTCCAGTGAGAGTTCACAGTGAGGAGAGAATGGTGTTAACTAGTCTATACAGAGGAGAGGAGACAAGTGTCTTGTGGCAGGGAGGACAGGAAGTGTCTTGTATGAGAGGCCCCCACAAGTGCCTCCATGACAGCACCTAATGAGCATGATGAGTGAATGAGGAGATGAAATGTGCTACTCTATCAATCCATGGGTGTGAGATGAACATAAGGAAGGAGGTATAGATTAATCTCTAGAGGTGAGAGCAGATTAGAGCAGTTGGATGTTTTCAGGAATGAAGTGAGGGAGGTTGACATGGGTTGGATCCTACAATCCAGTGTGGTGGAATGGGGTAGTGGGGTACATTCCTGCAGGGCAAATTAGAGGTTCAGTGTCCTACACCTTTGTGGCTAGGGAACAGGGCATTTGGAAGGGATTGCATGTGGATGATATTTTTTTCTCATTTTGAGCCAGGGAGACCAATGATGATCATTACTGAGTATATGGAGAATGGAGCCCTGGATGCCTTCCTCCAGGTGAGGGCCTGACATTTGTAATGTGTCTTTATACTGTGGGTCAGAGGTTCTTAAGGTTTTTAGATTCTAGAGAGCCCTTGGAAAATGCCAGCTCTTAGTCTTCACTCATTTTTTAACAATAGAAAAATAATAGAGCAATTCTTTCATTACAAAGAACTCAGAAAATGACAACAGATCAGAATGTTTTTGAGACTATGGATTCCTATGTGAAATGTATGGTTTTATCTTGTTGTAACCTGGGTTTGTCTCGGGTACATACCCCACTCCCTAAATGAAGGGATGTTAATGGGTGCAAATGCACTATGAGAGGAGGAGCTGCCCTGCTGTATGCAGTTTTCCTCAACCTCCCTATAGAGAAAGGCCAGAACATTTGTTGAGACTTAACTATATACAGATTTAATAGAAGATAACAGTTATAATATTACTAGCAAATTGCCTGTCAAGAATGACGGGGGGTGAGGGAGGGTGGTGGGCAGGAATGGACTCCTGCATTTGGCCCTGTGGTCCCCCCTCCCTGCCACTCCAGGGCAGCACTGGGAGAGGCCGTCACCCCCGCCCCTTCTGGGTCAGGGGGTCCCTGTTCATCATCCCCTGGCAATACTGGAGGGCTAGCAGGATCAGACATGTTCTTATTTCTCTATAGAGGTACACAGCACTCCACAAGTGCTAAGAGCACCCACCAACAAAATCCCAGACAAGACCCCAAAATATAACCCGGGTGGTACTCGGGTACGTACCCCACTCTCTAAATGAAGGGATGTTAACGGGTGTAGATGCACTGTGGGAGGAGTAGCTGCCCTGCTGTGTGCAGTTTTCCTCCCTCTTCCTGTAGAGAAAGGCCAGACCATTTGTTGAGACTTAACTATATACAGATTTGATAGAAGATAACAGTTATAATATTATTATAAATATAAATGTGTGTGTGTTTATATGGAACTATAGATATAGATATTTACAGATCTATGAAAACACTCTATATGCAGGTGAGGGGTCAGTAGCTTAAAACAAGGGTTTCATTGAACATTATGTGGTCTTATACTCAAATAAGGTGTGAAGTCACAAAACTTGAGGTGCAGAGTTACAGAAAACAGAGGTTAGTACACTACCCGAATGCAGTGGTTGTTCCCCAGAAGAAACTACCCTGAGGGAAGAAGAGAAAAGGAAAGCGAGTATTTAATACCCTGATGCCCTATGAGGCAATCTTAACTCTGCCTAGACCACCCACTTGACTAGGCTCCAACGCAACAGCCCCCTCTTTCCCTTGGGGCATCTCCTCAGCTGTGTGCCACCGGGATGGGGGACCTCCGTCCCCTGTGGGAATCCCCTTCCCGGGTGACTCCCAACTCCCTGGGGCCTGATGAGGCTGTCCTCAACTCTTGGGGTGAGGCATCGCCTCAATCTGCAGGGGCCCTCAGCTGCATTGGGGCTTTCTCAGCCTCTGGCCCACTCATGGCCCTGTGCACCGTCCCATGCACCGATGGCCCTGCCTCATGCAAGGTGTTGGAGACCCGAGCCACCTTGTGCAGCGCCAGGGTCTCAGTCCAGTCCCGGACCCTCCGTGCACTGACCTGTGCACTGCATGCCCTGCCTTGTGCAAGGGGTTAGCAACTCAAGCCGCCCCATGTGGCTCTGAGGTCTTGGTTTGCTCTGGGACTCTCCATGCACTGACCTGTACACCGCATGCCTGGCCTCATGCTAGAGTTGGGGACTTGAGCCACCATGGTCCCCAACCCCAGTCCCCTCCTGGACCTTCTGTGTACTGGGTGCCCCGCTTTGTGTAAGAGTTGGGGCCCAAACTACTGCCTGCAGCTCTAAGGCCTTGGTCTGCTCCCAGACCCTCCATGCACCGGCTGTGCACCAATGCCATGCTCCCTCACGGCAGGTCTGGGGACATGGCCACTTGCCATTCTCCGTCTGACGAGTCGTCTTCCGGGCTCTTCTGGGGCAACCGCTCCAACCTGCTGGCCAGCTCTGCCAGCTTTTCTTTCACCCTCTTCTTCATCCCTCGACACAGCCACCCGTGTGCCAGGCACGCTGCCCTTTTACTCCCTTTGAAGGCTCCACCCCTGGATTGGAAATGGACCAATCAGAAAGAGGGGTGTGTCAGTCCCCTTTCAGGTCCGGCTCTTTGCCTTGCCCTGGGGTAGGGGGGCAGGGCAGGCCTCCCCCCTGTTATCACCCGATTGGTGGGGAAGAGGAAATACCCCACCAATCACTTTGAGCTTCCTTGAAGCTGGCACGCCAGGCTGCCACCAGCAAAAAGGCCACATTGTGAATCATGTTTGCACACCTAACAGTACTAACACTGAGAAGTACCCTTGAAAAGATCTCAAGGCACCCCAGGATGCTGTGGCACCCTGGATGAGAATCACTGTTATGGGCACTTGCCAGCTACTGCCTGCATTCAGGCCACTGAAAGGTGCAAGAAGGTCACCTGTTGCTACTTTCAGGGGGTTCTTTTAACTGGGAATTGCATCCCTGGTATCCATTGCTATGGGTTGAGCCCAGTCAGGCTCATTAATCTCCTGAATTCTGCCTGTTCACTATTTAATGGCAATGTCTGGTTATGATTACAGTGGAATTTCTGTACTGTGTCAAGAACCAGGAAGCCCCCTCTGCCACACTGTCAGTGACATTGTATTTATCCTTATTCACCCAAAACCTTTTGTGAATCAATAGTCCTGTAACTGGGAATCAAGAGATTTGCATCCCCTCCCTGTCCCCTTTTCCCTTTCTTTGCAGCAAAATGAAGAGAAGTTGAAGCCTGTGCAGCTGATCAGCATGCTGCAAGGGATAGCTTCAGGAATGACCTATCTGTCAGACCGCAACTACGTGCACCGAGACTTAGCAGCTCGCAACATCCTGGTAACTCGCAATCTCCAGTGTAAGGTGTCTGACTTTGGCCTTTCACAGATACGGGAAGCTGATGTGGAGGGAATATACAAAACTAAGGTAACTTGGGAACAATCTTTGTTGTAATCTCAAAAATGAAGTTAACATAGCTTTGGGGATGGGACACTACTGGCTGCCATGTGAAGAAAGTCAGACAGGCAAGGATTTGGATGAGGGACTTCCAAGTTAAAACTGCAAAGAGTTTGTGTGGGTGACTGAGAGGGATGCTTTTCCTATGTCAGTCAGAACGGACCTCAGTTCCTCATTTAAAACTGTTGGAACTGGAAATGTTCTCATTTAGATGAGGTAGCCATTTGCAATCATTTAAAACCTTATGCCACTTCATGTAAGATGTGGAACATTAAGGATGGTGTCCTGGCCCATTTCCATTACAGATGGTCCTTAAAAGTGGCTCAATAGAAACAAAGGAATTTGCCCTCATTTTTTCTTTTAAAAATTAGGTTACTGAAATGGTAGAAAGTTGCTTTCATTCCCCTAGATTACCTCTCCTTGTGACTGGTGGGTGAAGTGATCCCAATTTATATATGGTCTGTAAAACACTTTAATTTATTTGATTGATTAAGTTCTATGCCACCCTCCCCCAAATGCTCAGGATTAGCTTACAATAAAAACAAGTTATAAAAATAAATAAATAATAAAAACAGGTCCACAGGCGGTATCCCAGCATCACTGGTGACTACCCACAGACATACGGCCACAACTGATTGGATTTGGCACAGGTCAAAAGTCACTTGTGCTATAATTACTTGCCTTTCCTGCTTCAGTTGCCTCAGCTCCCCCATGTACCAGGGGGGCCTAAGTCACTACAGTGACTGCTTGGGTGAAAAGTAATGGAGTTACCCTTCAGCTAAATATGAGCTCTCCTGTGACTTCCTTTCCCTAAAGGGTGGAAAGATCCCCATCCGATGGACAGCACCTGAGGCCATTGCTCACCAGATCTTCACATCAGCCAGTGATGTGTGGAGTTTCGGCATTGTCATGTGGGAGGTTCTCTCATTTGGTGACAAGCCCTATGGAGACATGACAAATCAGGAGGTAACAGACATTGAGAGGATGTGATATCAACGTAGCGATCTAAGCCCGAGCAGGCAAGATTGAGTCTGCATATGCTAGAATAGGCAAGCCACATAAGCTTGTTTGCAAGTACCCTGCTCTGTTGCCAGTCCCACTGAGTGCAAACCCTGCTGTAACACCCTCGCTCCATTGAAAATTAGCAACTGCAGTCAGTGGACATTGATTTTTAGTGTGATAATGGAACTGAATTGTTGGAACCCTGACCTAGTTCATGGGGGTGGAGCTGGAAATAAACCTCCAGCTGACAGACTGATCAAAACAAGGCTCTCAGCCACAGGGTTTCTTCAGTTGTAATCCTGAAAGATGTGCTACTCCTAGCCAAGGCCACAGAAAGTATAGAGAAACCTTCTGCCTCCTCCCTATACTCTCTGAGAATGCTCTGTTCCTCCTACCCAGTTCTCCTTTTCTAGTTTTCTGATTAGTTCCTTTTGTACACCTGGCCAGATCAGTGCACCTTTGCAGAAAAAGCAGGCAGGCAGGTAGGATCCTTTCTCTGAGACTGGTAACATCAGGTATAGAAGAAAGAAGGTATAGATCCATATCTATTACAAGGTGCCTTAAAAGATGAACATGGCAGTGGCCAGTGACAGCTGTCTCACTCTAAATCCCATTGCTCCTGGCAGTTGTTTCCCCAGCTGTTCTAAACCCCCACCTGTCTGCCCACCCTTTTTGCCCCCCACTCTGAAGTAACTTGCCCCAGCTGTTTCATGCTGCATAGGACCCCATAAAAATCCTAGGATCATTTTGTGACTGGTTTCACCCTATAGAGGCACTCTGTGATTTCTCTGCCTCTTGTAAAGTCTGGTGTGCCCTTTCATGTGTAGGTCATGAAGAGCATAGAGGATGGGTACCGTCTGCCCCCGCCTGTGGACTGCCCATCCATCCTTTATGAGCTCATGAAAAGTTGCTGGTTGCATGATTGCCTACAGAGGCCCCGCTTCCAGGAGATCCAAGCACAGCTGGAACACTTTATCTCTAGCCCCCACTTGCTCCGATCTGTTGCAGACTTCGACCCCAGGTAAGGAGGCATGGGGGAGTTGCTCAGAACTGAGGGAATGACTTCTTGGGCCTATTGATAGTGCAAAAGGGGAACACCTCATGATTGGGTGTTCAGGAAATGAAAAAATTGCATTTTTGGCATTAACAGAGGGCATTGTTGCTAGATTGGGACACTGAGCCTCATGTCAAGAGGAAGCAGGCATGTCTCCCTGATCACAACAGAGAGTACTCTCTCCTGTAGGAAAGTGCCTGTCTTCTGCTGCTGGCATTAAGTTTAAGGTAGCTACCTTTATGGTGACTTTTTGTCTTCAGGGTGACTCTCCGGTTCCCCAGCTGCAGCGGTTCTGATGGGATTCCCTATCGGTCTATCCCAGAATGGCTGGAATCCATCCGTATGAAGCGTTATATCATCAACTTCCGCACTGCAGGCTTGGACACCATGGAATCCATCTTGGACCTCACGGCCGAGTAAGCAGAAGTTACACCCAGGGCAGGTCTGGCTTGTATAAGGGTAGAAGTCTCACAGCTGAATTCACTTGCAGCTGCCATCCTGGTTTCCAAATCTCCCTCTATATATTACCCAAAAGAAGTTGGAGCTTTACCCCCAACCTTCCCTGTAAAGTAACCAAAGCAGAGGTTCCATCTTTCCTAGAAGGTAGCTAAACAAACTCAGCCTAATTCCCTCAAATTTACTTCAGGGCTGTATGCCCTCCACTGAATGTACTCGGTCCTGACTGTGACCTGCCACAGATACCATGATCTTGAATCAGCCACAGGTACTAGGGGAAGACAGTAGTTTGAGCACTCAGTGTTGGGCAGTTCCAGAGCTGGCTGGCTCTTCCTACTTGAAGGGCTTTGCAAATTTGGTTCCTGTATTGGAGTCAGACAGCAAGTCTCTGTGGAAATACCTGCAAGGACTATACCAGCAGCTTCATTCCTCTCTGTTTTGCTGTGTAAGTATCCTTCCCATTCCAGAGAGAAGATACTAAAGCAGTGATTCTCAACCAGGGAGAGACAGCTTTGAGCTGAAGGCAAGGGGTCTGAATCACTTGCATTCAGGTTGAAGAATAGGGTCTTTCTTTCCCTGCTCTCAGTCACTAAGAGCAAGAACAGTGATTCAGCTTATGTTTCCATCTTTTTTCCTTTGTCGCTTTAAAGGGACTTGAAACACATGGGGATATCCCTGCATGGCCATCAGAAGAGGATTCTCTGTAGCATCCAGGGCTTCAAGGAGTGACCAGACCTCAGGGCCACAAGCTGCTAATACACCCAAGCATACTGGGTATTACTTGGAACCATTCCCAATGGTGACTGTTTCCAAGAAGAAAGACTGGTATGATCAAAGTGACAAATAGGCCAGAATGAACTCACAGGGAAGTCTTGCCTACTTTGCCCTCCCTTCTTCCTTGACTTATTTTTGTGAGCCTCTGGTCCTAATGCAGCATTTTGCATGGGTGCTGGAGTCAGGAAGAGTCCTCAGCACCAATCCCCAGCACTGATGATATCTGTATTGTGTTCTGTGCAGTCCTAACATACCCTCTGCAGCCCACGCAGCAGTGACTGGTTATGTTGTTCATGGAACTTCTTAGGGACACACACACACAAAGGTATGTCCCTGTTAACCCCCTGTTAAGAGAGAGAGTATAATCTGTAGAGGGAACGCATGAAGAGGCCAGAGCAGAAGAAATTGGTCCATGACAAGTACCAGTACCATTGTTATCACATGTTCCATTTTTCACAAGTCCTTCTATCTTCTTTATTCACTATTATAACAAAAGCAGATGCACCATTGGTCTTGATCAGGATCAGAATTCTTCATGCACTCAGGGAAGGAGGGCTGCCCAGCTATCACTAATACCAAGTAATGGTATTCTCTTTCCCCTGCTGTAACTGGTCACTTCCTGCCAAGGAGGGAGGTTGAGGTGCAAGAGGAGGAAGGAAGAGAAGCACCTTGTTGTTACCCATGTGCTTCACATAACTTTATCTGTGATATAGACACATGATTAATGCTGAAACATGGAGCTACGCACCTCTCCTCCTGCTGCCCCAGTGCTGTCCTGGTTACAGAATCTCTGACCAAATACCAATTTCTGCATTTTTTTTTGCCAAATGGGAAGATGGACGGGTTTTTTTTGTTTGTTTTTGTTTGTTTTGCTGCAATGAGTAATTTGTCCCAGTAAGAAAAGTGCAGGAGATATGTCTCACTCTTCCTCTGTGAAGGAAATGTGCTTTAAAAATGTATAAGAAATCATGGAGAAGGAACTGGATGAAGAGAGATTATGGATTGTAGATATTCTTTTGTAAATAAACTTCTGCAAGAGCAGAAGCTGCATAATGTAGCTTTCCTTGACTAATACCTTAAGTACTAATGCAAACTTTCCTTCCGGGTACAGGATGAGCTCTGCACGGTATTGTCTCTAACTGTGATAGTGTCACGCCCAAATTGTCTTACACTGGGTGCTTCTACATGTGTGCTTTTATGTGCAGTAGCCTATTTTACTGTGCATTAAAGCAGCATGTAAAAAAAGTGCTATTATGCTAATGCTCAGTAAAATAGGCTACTGTGCATTACTCCTAAAAAGCGTGAGTGAATGCTAGGGCAGCCTAATGCACAGGAAAAATGCATTAGGAAAAGCACATGAATGCACATGGAGACGCATCCACTGTTTCCTCCTCATTTGTTACTATGACTGCATCAAGGACACAGGACTCCCCTGTTGCTGCAGGTCCAGGATTTACATTTGCTTCTTCATCTCTTCAATACTGTATGTTACGTTGGCAGTACCTGTATTAGACTCTAAACTGATGTGGCTGCTCCAGAATAACTTGTAAGATTTGGCAATCACAGTATCTCTGCAGTGTCATACCTGTAGCACCATAGGCTGCATGAGTGCCTAAATGAAGTAAGTGTTGGTGGCACTCCCAGCTGCTGCTATGGAGCTGACAGTTGTGTGAGCACTGCCACTCTACTGGCAGGCAAACATGCCACTGTTGAAGTCCAGAAAGAGACACAACTTTCTGCATTTGTCACTTCCTAATACCAGCCTGCTTCCCTCCGAGACCCTAGAGAAGAGTCTTAGTTTATATCTAAGCACTATGGATGCCTAGACACGCTCATTCGCGTTGTAATTAGAATGCATTGGAACTGACTCAATGAATTGAGTCTGCTCTGCATTTTAATTGGAATGCTCCAGCATCACCTTACCATCATATGTATTAAGTCCCCCTGCATTTCAAAATGCCTGCAGGGGCACTTTATCTAAAGCATATTAAATGAGCTTTAGATAGTGTTCTGCAGCCAATTTGAAATGCAGGGTGGGCTTAATCCACATGACAGTGAGCCATTTTAGAGCTGCTGTCTGGGAACCCCACCCTCAAACACCCATGTAGGTAGCCTAAAGACCAGTCTTAGTCTACCTATAATGTTGCTAAGCGGCTTTAGGAGTTCAGTTAGGTGCTTAATCCACCTTGAGTCCCTGGAGAACCTGTTAATACGCCTTTTTTTGTAATGTGCTGTCATCTTAACCTTAAAACTAAATCACCAAAGCAGCAAGGAGTACCTACCCACACACCTTTTGTATTAACCCTTTTTCCAGGTCCTTGAGGAGAGTGGAAGAGGACTTTACTTAGGGACCTAAAAGGAAAGTAGGATTGGCCCTTAAATCCCACCATAATAAAGAGAGCTGAAAACACAGAGCCATGTTCAAATACCATAGCCTAGTCTGTTTAGAAAGTATGCTCTTCCTATTCCCTGTATTTGATAGTTTTCATTCTACCATCCACAGAAATCATTTGAATTATGAAGTCACATTCCAAATCCCATTGATTTACTTAAGTTAGTTTTTGTCTTATAGTAGGTCCTACAATTGTATTGGAAATAGAATTCCAATAGAATTGGAAACTACAATTAGCAGTTGACTAAAAAACAAACAAACAACAAACACCACTCTGTCTTAGATAACTTGTCAGCCTCATCACCAGCTATGACACTGTACCACAGCCAGAATTGCTTCTATCCAGTGTCCTAAACACAGAAGCATCATTTTGTTCATGCTGTCCTTTATAACTTTACAGCAAGTGATAGACCTTGTATTTTGTGCATTGAATGAAGGGAGGTAAGATAGAAGAGGAGAAATATCATTGTAACTTATGCAACTTCTTAACTAATTTCATCTGTAGAATGAGGAAGACAAATACTTGCCTGACCCTCAAGTTGGGACATGCAACCTTGCTCAACCAGATCTGCAAATTTCTGCTACTTCAGCTGATTAATCTTGAACTTCTGGTTTAGCCCAATAAGCTTCCTTCTAAGCCAGAGATCTTAGACTATGGTCTGCAGGCCACTTATAAGAGGATAAGTGGTCTGCAGACTGCAGCATCCCTCCTCACCTTTTCATGTCCCGTTTTGGAAATGGCCGAACATCTCATGCTTGTATCCAAAAAAAAAAAATGACCTCAAGCAGATGCCAAGAATGTATTTCAAATGATTGAACCTGAAGATCAGTTTATCTGGCAAGTATTAACGCAGTCAGCAAGTGACATGTTTCAGTCCAGTGAGATTGGAAGAGCAAGCAAGTTGTAATTCCACACCTCCTGCCAGAAAGGCATAACTAGGCAGTCAGTTTTCTTTTTTCCTGACTGGACACAGTAAGTGGATTACACACCAACTGGACACATCTACACATGCAATTAATGCTATATCATCTTACTGTGCAGTAAATTACTGCACAGTAAGCCAGCCCTGGAAATGTGTCTACATGTGCACTCTGTTGGGAGTAGATTTATTCCTTATAGGACTAAGTAAATCCAGGCCTGCTCCTTCACAGCTTTGACCTCCTGCAGCAGCCAAGGGGAGCTGCAGCCTCTGACTGCAGCTGACCAGGTGCCAGGGGGCTCGGAGGAGGGAGAAGGGCACGGCCTGGCAGGGGTCTCCTAGGGGGAACGGGCAGGCAGAGCCTGGCAGGGGACACTGTTCTGGTAGCCTGTGGCAAGTGCACCATGGATTCCTCCCCCGCCAGCAGTGGCAGACAAGACACCATGTCTGCGAGGCATCCACAGACCACCTCTTCCCCAGCCCCATGTAGTAGGGCACCTGGGCTGCTGCCCATGGACCCCAGGCCCACAGCACTTCCCCAAGACTACATGCACTTGGGATGGTTTCCATTCAACAATCTGCAATACAGCACAGTCCCCTCTGCCCTCCCACCAACAACACCCCCCCAAACCCCAACACCCACTATCACTAAAACACCCTCCTCCCCATATGACTATTTGCAAGAGTGCACTTGATGTAGCATGAGAGGGGAATGGTGGCATGGTGGTGCCCGTGACACAGAACCTGTGGAGAGGTACCTGGCACCCCAGCTTCTGGGAGTACCACTGTGCGTGCAGACACCGCAGCAAGGCTGGTGGCCCAGCGGCTCAGCCAGGGGTGAGTGTGGGTGCTGTCCAACCTGTTCCCCCTTCTCCATGGGGCCAGACCTGGTGGGAGACCGCTCTCATTCAGGGGCCACGTGGCAGGCAGAGGACTAGGGGGGCTCCAGCCCAGGTGGGCAACCTGGCTGCTGGGAGACCCAGCTCAGGAGCAGGGGCAGGGGGTCCTGGTCACTTCAGCTTATATTGGACCTCCTCCCAGGCCCACTGGTCCAGGGCCAGGGCTGGTGGCTAGGCAACAGGTGGTTGGCAGGCAGGGCCGAAGCTGGGGCTGGTGCCTGGGCCATGAGCAGCTGGGGCCAGGGCTGGGCAGCAGGTGGTTGGCAGGTGGGGCTGGTGGATGGGCAGTGGGTGGCACAAAGGAGGCCACCAGGGCCAGGATGCTGTCAAATATCTGGTGGTCCTCCTCCATGGCTGCCACTGCCCAAGCTGCCATGGAGGCCAGCTGCTCTTAGGCGGCCACTATCCTCTTGAGGGCAACATGCCTCTCTTCAAGAACCAGGAGCTGGGCACGGTACACCTGCTCCTCGCGGTCCTTCTCCTGCTTGTGTATGTCCCTCTCCCACTTGCACATGTCCTGCTTCCACTTGTGCGTGATTTCCTTCATGTGCCAGACCCATGAGTCTACCAGCCACTCCTCCATGATGGTGACCAGCTGGTGCGGGAGCAGGGTCTGATCCTGCATCTGTGGCTGTCAATGGCAGTGCATGTGGAGGGTGCAAGCTGTTGGGCACATTGTCCCTGATGACATATCCCCAGCGGCAGTTGGTGCCTCTCCCCATGAGCAGCTGCTGGACCTGCAGAGCAAAGACAGAGGCTCTTTGTGATATTTTACATTTCAGCGATAACATGCATTATACCAAGGAACTGTGCACTGCCCAGCCTCAGGTTAGGGATCATGCATACATAGGTGCCCAGGGACCATGGTAAGTTGGCTGGGCCACCCCTGTCACAGGCAGCCAGCAGCTGAGCCATCCATGGGGGGAAGGCAACTTCCATGGGGTGTAGCCCTCTGTAAGGGCAGGTGGCCTGTCTGGTGCTTGCTGCAGACAGCCTGCCTTCCCAATCCCCTCCCCAGACCAGGCCAAGGAGGCTCTACTCCTCCTGCAGGCCAGGCATTTTGTTCCTGTGTTGCCAGGCCCATGCCAGCTGGGGTTGGGAAGCTAGGGGATCCTGCCCAGCTGAGATCTGGTGACACCCCTACCCTCCCACCAGTGGGCCACTCCAGAGAGCTGCCCACACAGGACAACAAGGCCATTGGCGAGAAGCACGCTGGCTCCTGGCACTGCTGGCCCAAGGGGCCCTCCTTTGGCAATTGTTCATCAGGGCTGGGCTGCAACAAGGGCTCCAGCAGCCTGCCAGTGCTGGAATAAATATCCTGCCCATAACTTGGGACCCAGGATTCTGTCCAGCTCCCGCATGCAGGGCATGGTCCTGAGGACTACCGGAGACCATCTATTGTGGTCTATCATGAATCCACTGGTCCCATACAGCCTTGATTTCAAATGGCCGTCAGGTCAGCAGTCTCCATTGCTGCCTAGTTGACACCCCAGGCTGCTTATGTCAGGGTCAGGGAAGCTGACACATATGGGGCTGCCTCCAGCAGGGACTGCAGGTGCCATTGGCCCCAGCTTGTGGACACCAGCAAGGGGCACAGTGCCCAGGGGCCAGGCAGGGGCAGCTACCAGCCATGAGAGGCAGGGCAGGCCAGGGTTCTCACAGAAGTGTAGGAGCCAGCACATGCCCGCAACACAGAGGCACAATGCCCAGGGTCCAGGGGGCAGCCGGCTGAGCCCTGGGACTCACGCCAGGGCTGTGCAATGCTGCTGCTGCCAACACAGGCCCGCTGAAGGAACCCACATTGGTCAGGGGCAGGCAGCAGCTGGCCCAGGA